TATATATATATATATATATATATTATTTTATTTTTAAACTTGATCGGACATGTTATAACTAGCAATACTAGGACACTTCTTCTTAGTGTTAGTGCATATACATAATAATATTAAGTGTTTGGCCATATGATTTGAAGTTTGAATTTAAAATTTTGATTTGAAATAAACATTTGTTTATAAAACGTGAACAAAATTTCAACTTAAATTTCACATCATAATTTGAAAGCTCAAATTCTTTAAATAGCAGAATTTTGATTTATTTTATTTTAAATTATAAACTTGAACTGTAAGTTTAAATTTTACAAAAAATACTCATCATTTTAAACTTTACCAAAAAAAAGACACTTGCTCGACATGAGTAGTAACTCAAATTATGTGAAAGGATTACATCAAAAAATAATTAATTACTAAGTACTACTATCGATTTTTCGGAGCAGTGAATATTTTGTAAAAATATATGCACTTGAAAATTTGTAATAATATACAATCCATGGAGACACGTGATTTATTAAGATGACGTCATAGAATATTTTGATACCTTATTTATTAAGAGAGAAGTATTAAAAATACCTCTGAACTTGGCGCAAATTATTAAATTTGCCCCCAAACTATTGACGGTCTTAAAAACACCCCTCTACTTGATTAACTAAACTTAGATATATACACTTTCAATCTACCACATGACATAACAAGTGGTTTCAAACTTTTGTAGGAGCATAGTGACTTAATAAAAAGTCGAGAGAAGTATTGAAAAACACCCCTAAACTCGATAAAAATTTAAAGATATATTTTACTCATATTACAAGATCAGAGATGTATTTAAGTTCAGTTAGTCAAGTAAAAAAATACTTTTAATTATCAATAATTTAAAATTTTACTTTAAATTTAGGTGTGTTTTCGGTACTGGATCGCAACGAGCCATAGTTCCGACCAAGCAAACAAAATAGGAGTGGAAAAACAAAAGAAACTTAGTGCCGTCATGTTTTTACACCTAATATAAGGAAACTCCTCCCTTGCTTGTATACGCGGCAAATAATGAAATAATAGTAATTAACTAACAACTATACTTTTACTATTATTATTTTTATTAATTTATCATTTGACCTTAAAGACTTTTAATTTTCTTCACACTTCAATTTAATATCTTCATATGTTTATATATATAGTCTCCCATACCCCTTCTTATTATCATTCTTATTTATTTCATATATCCCAAAGTATATACAAAATAATAATAATAATAATTAGCTCTAGTGTTACATCTTATATTATGGCTATCAAAATTTTGTTGAAAGGTTTACTACCTAATTGCTTCAATGTTAAGATTAATGATGCAATTATTCATCCACATCATGACAAGATTAATGGAAATTCAAGGCTAGGTGTTGGTGATATTAGTGATCCAGAATCACCATCAAATTGTATGAGTGATCTTTCATCAAATGCTATAATTGGATCAAATCTTCATGTTTTTACATATGCTCAACTTAAAGTTATTACAAGTAACTTTTCATCTTATAATTTTCTTGGAGAAGGTGGATTTGGACCTGTCCATAAGGGGTTTATTGATGATAAAATTAAATATGGTTTAGATGCTCAACCTGTTGCTGTTAAGTTGTTGGATTTGGAAGGTGATCAAGGACATATTGAATGGCTGGTAAGTAATAATATTTTATCTTTCTTAGTTTGTCTGAACACGTAGTTTAAGAAAAATACAAAAAGACTTCTCTGAATCTTATATTTGGTTTTCCTTCTGAGCTATCGTAAAATAAATAAATGATCAATATATTCAAGATAATTGCATATTTATAAAATATTGCCTGAATTAATTCATCTTATTTCATCAGATCTAAGATATATGTATATGGTTTTGAAAGATGAACCGAATATGAGCGGTTCCAATAAAATTCAATTGATCTTGAATATGAATCCATTTTTTGATTTCCTAGAACTCAGTGTTTTAAACTAAAAATGTGTGTAAGGTATCAGAATATGTTTGAATCTTATGGTATTAAATATGCAACATATAAAAATGACATTCTTTTTCAAACAAACTTAACAAATAGACACATAAAATGAAATAGAAGAAGTATTATATTTTCTTTTTAATTCCAATTTTTACTAATAGTTTAATATTTTTTGTTTTTTTTTCAGACAGAAGTAGTGTTACTTGGCCAATTGAGACATCCAAATCTAGTAAAGTTGATTGGATATTGCTGGGAGGATAAGCAAAGGCTTCTTGTTTATGAGTACATGGCAAGAGGCAATCTAGAGAACCAATTATTTAGAAGTATGTTTCTCATAATTAACATTCTTGTGAATTATTATTATTTTTCCATTAAAACCTTACTTTAATGTTTATAATCATTTAGATGTGGCAAAATAAACCTATTATTAGTAAATTGTTCAATTTTTAAAAAAAGTTGAATAATGGCCTATTATTTGGCCTATTTCATTTTAACTCAAAGAGTCTGATCATGTTTCATTCTGACTCACTCAAATTTGATCCAATCCGTCTATTTGCTACCTGTATCGCTAATATTTGATATCGACATACTTCATGATTTTGGCCGCTTTTAAGCTAAACATGTTTCTATTTTTTTATTTTTGCGATTAAAACAGGATGTTCAAGTAGCTTACCATGGCTAACTAGAATGAAGATTGCACGTGATGCTGCAAAGGGGTTAGCATTTCTTCATGGAGAAAAAAAGCCAGTAATATATAGAGATTTTAAGGCTTCTAATATCCTCTTAGACTCGGTAATAATCTATAATTAATTTAATATTTCTACCTTGAAAATTTACTCTTTAATTTTAACATCCTTTTTAATTAATTTAGACCATACTATAGCTTATAAGAAAAATTAAATTTGAAATTTCAGGATTATACGGCTAAACTTTCCGACTTTGGACTAGCTAAGGATGGTCCGGAGGGTAGTGACACGCATGTCACGACTCGTGTTATGGGAACTTATGGCTACGCTGCACCCGAGTACATGATGACCGGTAAATATATTTTGTATTCATACTTCGATTTAAATAAAAAAAATGTTTTTAAAGATAGTGACGGACCTTGGATTTTTAAAATTTGTCTTCTACATGTAGTGCTTGGATGAAAAAAAACAATAGTTGCTTGAGCACCCAATAGTGTTTATATAGGTCCACCATTATTTTAAAGTTTTAGTAACATGACCCCATTAATCTTGAGAATATTTTCTATAAAGTATACTTTATCTCTCTTTTAAATGTATTTATTGATTAACATTGTATTTGTCAAAATGATAAATACTTGGGACTAAAAGTATATGACTTTTATTTTAACAGGTTATTTGACAACTAGGAGCGACGTATATAGTTATGGAGTTGTCTTGTTAGAATTACTAACAGGACGACAAGCGATTGACAAGAAACGCGCCAGTAGGGAGCAAAACTTGGTGGAATGGGCTAAGCCCTTCCTACGAGATTCACACAAGCTCGAAAGAATAATGGACCCGCGACTTGAAGGCGAGTACTCAAGTCAAGGAGCCAAAAAGGTGGCTACATTGGCTTATCAATGCTTGAGCCATCAACCCAAGTCTAGACCTACCATGAGCAATGTGGTCAAGATATTAGAACCTATTTTGGACTTGAAAGATATACCAATTGGCTCATTTGTTTATGTGGTTCCCTCATTTGACTCTAAAAGTGGTTTGAAGACAAAAGGAAATGAAGAAAAAGAGAATAAAGAAAATAAGATGCATATAATAAGTGATAAAGATCATGACAAAGAAAGTGCAAGGGAAAAGAATCAACAAAAGTCTGCTACTCATATTTAATATACTTAGATACTCATTTGTATAGGACTTTTGGGGCAAGAATTTAGATAATCCAAGTAGAAATTTGAGATAAAAAAAAAGAAGAAAATCTAGAGAGACCACATACCAAATGATAACGATTATTTTATTTTTAAGCAGAGATCTCGGGCTTAATCCCGAGAACAAAATTTTGTATGGTAAGGAGCATTAGAACCCCCCTAGTGAGCTTTTTTTTACGGCAATAACTCGAATTAGTTGAGCTAGCTAATTCTGAACATCAGATATTTAAAGCAAATCACAACGTATTGTTAATGGTGTGTATGTTTTGATGTATTTGTTTGTTTCTTAATTTTTATTCAAGAAATTTGAATACATTTTAGCTAGATTTTCCATTGCACTTTTTGAAAACAATCTTCACACACACAAAAATAAATAAAATCTTCAAAATGGTTAAATTGTAAAATATTTTCAACTTGAAAAAGAGAAAAAAAGACAATTCTTTCCTTTTGTTTCTTATCCTTTAATATTAATATTTTCCAAGGTCAAGATTAAAAAGGATTGAATGTGGCAAGGAAGCAACTTGTTGGAAGTCCTAGCATTATTATTCTTCAATTTGTATATAAGAATTGACCGCAGCACTAACATCATAATCAATTACAAAATTTTATTTTCTAATATTAAAAGTACAAGTGGAATCAAATGTTATATTTTATTAAATTAGCCGCCATCATATCCATGCTTAGGGTTGCTTATACATAGGTTGAACACCCTTTAAATCACGTTAGTAAATTTTATTAAGATATTTGAACTAGGATGTGTTCTAATTAAGTATCTGAGACACATAATAAAATATTTTTATTAAATAATTTTGGCTCATATTTTAGAAATGGTTTTGCGTGTGTTCTCAAACGTCATCACATATTTAAGTTAATCACAAAAAATATGTATCCTCTTTTAATTATACACGACAACATCAATTGAAATTAAAGATGCCTGAGATTTAACAACTCAATGAAAATAATACATATAATTAAAGGAATGACATACTTAAGTAGTTAACTTTTCTTGAGAAAATGCCTAGATTTTTTCCCAAAACTATAAATCGGAAGTGTCTAATAGAAATATTTTATCCTGCAGTGTTCATGTGCCCAATCGAAATTTGAGTATCTAAATAAAATTTATTAAAAGGATATCGATGTATTCAATTTTAATTAAAACATATATATAATTGAAAGTCAATTCGATATGAAACGAAAGAAAACATCACATCAAAGTATTAACATTTAAATAGCATAATGAAATTATAATTATTGAAAATAAGGAAAGTTGTTACAATAGTGATATATAAATGATGTCACATAATTGGAATAATAACCTAAAATGAAAATAAAAATAAAAATGTACAAGTTGGAATAAAGATAGTGAGTGCTACACAACAAAGACAAGAGCAATATTCATGCACATTACATTAGGGTCTATCTAGGACTTGAAAAGTCATAAGATTTACACCAACATGTAGTGTGAGCGCTTAATTAAGGATGGCAAGATTTAAAAAATTAGCACGTTTATTTAATGCAAATCATAAAATAAGAAATTATGACATGTGCAATTATGAAACTAAATTTTCTTTTTAGGGTAGATGATAATTATGCTAAGTAGCATTAGACTAGTAATTAGTGATAAATTAGGGTCCACGTGACTTTAATTCCTAGAGGTTTCCTAGGAGAAGCAAAGCTTATGCTGGACAACTGGTTACACAAAAAAAATTGAATCAATCGAAATCAATATTTGTTGTAGTAACCACCCATCCCATTGAATAATTCACAAAATATCTTTTACTATCGCATTCTTCGTTATGATAAATTAAAACTATCAAAGATTGTCATCTATTTTTCTTTGTTTGTTATTGAACTGCATTGATTTTTTTTGGATACACTAACTGATTTTGAGTTTAATGAATTTCATGGAAACTGAATGGCCATCTTTATCAATACAAGAGTTAAATATACCCCTGAAAAAAATAAAACTCACGTCTCCTTAGTTTATGCTATTCATTAATTGTTGGTTTCATTTGTGCTATTAATTTTGGGACAATTTGTGCTAATATTTTATTTGTCTATTTAATGCTTATTAATGTTGGGTTATATGTTGCTAATATGTCATTTCCTCATATGAATACCACTAAAGTTATGATAATTGGGGGAATCGAAACTTACCCCTAGGTTTGCATTTAAAAAAATATAAGATTTGACCTATTAATTAAAATCACAGTAGAAACTTGATTATAGAACTGAACGCGTTACTTACAAATTATGTATACTTGATAGATTGAGAATGTTCTTAGGCATTGAGGAAGGAAAAACATTGGGATCTTGAACTTGTCTATTAAAGTGATGTTTTGAATAAAGAAGGCCTAATGAAATATTGTTAATGAAGTGGAAAGTGATGATGAAGAATGGTGATTTAATTATACTGTTGAATCAAATGCCACGAGCCGGCACAATATATTTGGATCAGGTGCCACGAGCCGGCACGATGTTATTGGATCGGGTGTCACGTTCCGACACGATAATATTAAATGAAAACATATTAAAATAATGTAATGTATTCAATCTCAAAAAACTCATTTTCCAATAGAGCGTGGTGTGAAGGCACAAGCCCTCACATGTGTTCTAGCTAAAGGCCCAAGCCCAAACAACAATGCAAAGATGAGATAAACTATCCCGCAAAGGAAACCTCGTGGAGTTTCTCCATTAATACATACATAAAAGAGTAAATTTTAGGTTTAACAAACATAAAAATCATATTTGTATGCTATAGTTATAGTTTGCATAATTGTTAAAGTTTGTTATGGCTATTAATATGTATATTTCGGTATATTTATACAAAAGAATCAATTGTATAAGTGCATATTTGGAATCTGTATACAAATAAGAAAATATTTTTTTGTATAGTATGTGTTTGTATAAAGCAAGAATGAGAGAAAGGCAAAAGAGAACTGGGCAGGGAGAAATTTGTATTGTATAATTATAAGTGTATAGGACGAATATATATATAGAGAGGCGAACGAAAGTTATGTAAATTTGTATTTGTATATACAGTTTTTTCTCGCTTTATACAAATACAAACATAGTTTATACATTTGTGTTTGTATAAAGTGAGAGAGGCGAG